GTTTGAACTCGTCAATTCTATTACTATTTTTTATGTCCACACTTAAATTATTCCATAGTTTTACCCCACTTATGGAAATACAAAATCTTTTTTTGGTTGTACGTATAGCATGAATTTTTAAATTTAACTGACCCCTTAAATTGTATCCCCCTTCCCTTTCATTAAATAGTTTTTGAATTCCACCAGGTAATAAATTGTTCCTGACTTTATACATAAACACAGCAGTCTTATATCCCACTAAATCAAAAAATTTTAACAATTTAGACTGTATGAAAGCTACATTGGTGTGATCTCTATACCCCATCTTATGCACAATTCTTATCGCTCTTTTTTGTAATATATACAATGGTTGAAGTGAGCTTTTGTATGTATTTCCCCAGTTTTCAACGCCATACTCTAAGTATGGTAATGCAGGCGGGCTTGTTGCATTATAACAAAAGCCTGGTTAAACCGTGATCTCTTGAGTGCATGTCTGGTAGTTTCATTTCTGTCTGCGTTGCAGTCAAGTAGACCGACAGGCTTTACAACTCCAGATAAGGTTGGAACAGTATGTACGAATTAAAACTGAAAATAGTGATGTGTAAATCATCTTTGTCCTGTATTACATTGAAAACAACACAGCAGAATATTATTTGATGTGACACATCATTTTTTAATTTTGTTCATAATAAACACTGACTTCAATCCTAATGCCTGCAACACATTCCAAAAGAAGTTGGGCTGGCTGCATTTCAGGGCTAGCGATAAGGTAAAACAATGAAATGGTGATACCATTTAAACAGGTGATGACAACAGGTGTCACACTCATGATTTGGTACAAAAGTGGCATCCAGGAAAGGCCGAGCCCTTTAGGAGCAAATATGGGCCGAGGACCACCAGTTTGACAACATATGTGTGAGGAAATTATTATTAAAAACAATGTTCCTCAAAGAAGGATAGAAGGGATTATGTAGTTACATCCATAAATGCTGCTTAAAACTGTACTGTGCCAAAAGGAAGCCCTATGTCAACAGAGGTGCAGTCGACTGCTCTGGGCTCGGAGGCATCTGGGACGGACCATCACACAGTGGAAACGTGTACTGTGGTCAGATGAATCAGTGCTTCAGGGGTTTTTTTTAGAAGGAATGGACAAAGGTAACTTGTACTTCTGTGATGGCTCCATTAATGCTGTAAAATACAGAGAGATGTTGAACCAACATATGCTGCCATCAAGACAACATCTCTTCCAGGAATATGTTTTGTTGACATATGCATTCCATTGCATATGTCAACAAAACAATGCAAAACCTCATAGTGCACATTACCAAGGCCTGGCTGTGGAGGAAAAAGGTGTGAGTGCTGGACTGGCCCGCTTGCAGCCCTGACCTGTCCCTAACAGAGAATGTGTCTCATTTTGACACACAAACTGTGTCAACAAAGACCCAGGACTGTTGCGCACCTTAAGACTTGTTTGCAGGAAGAATAGGACAAAATGACAACTGACACTAATCACTTGGTGTCTTCAGTCTGTAAATGTCTTTTAAGTTGTGAAAAGGAACAGCAACATCACACTGTGGTAAATGCTTTACTGTCCCAACTTTTTGAATGTGTTGTAGGGACCAGAATTGAGGTGTTTATTTTGAACAAAGAATAAAATTTATGAGGTGTCACATCAAATCATGTGCTACTGTATTGTTTTCAGTGTAATTCAGGACATACAGTAGATGATTTACAAATCACTATTTTCTATTTTAATTTTGATTTTACATACTGTCCCAGACTTTTTTTTTTTGATATGGTGTCACTCTTTTCTCCTGCTTCTATCTCAGTCTCCACCCAGCCAGGTAACAAATCAAATGACGAGGCCTCGCTGATTTAGTCCATCTACGTATTTATCCTGCAAGAAACAGCCGTGCTTACTGATGTGAAATCGCTGCCTGTGATTTAATACCATCTAGTGGCGGCTGTTGAGCCTACACCAACATGGAGTTCAGCACTAGTGTAGTAGAACATCTATCATTTTGACATTTGTTTCGTAATATAATTTGACACAGATTCCCTCAGTGTTTGAATGGTGTTACCATTAAAATAAGTCCAAGAGGGTTAATAGCAATAGCACTGAGTTGTAAAAGGGTTAGGGTGTGTATATATTTATACTATATAGTTTGGATGGGGTTTTGTTTTGTTCTTTGGTTTGTTTGTTTTTTGAAGAGAGAGAGAGAGAGAGAGCTTTTTTTCAGTTGCATTGTGCAGCATTTACAAGCCCAAACTGTACCCAGCAGTGTGTCTGGGCTCTGCCAGATCCCATTTCCTGAACAACCTCTTTCAACAGGCATCTGTCCCTCTTGGAGCCGAACAAAGCAAAGACTGAAAGACCCTCTGAAATCTCTCTTATTTCTAAATATATATCCCCTGTTCCTGTGGCTCCCCTTAAAGGGAACAGTGTCTGGTGATTTGCAGTGATCAAAAATGTATGTATGTGCTGATATCGACATTTGAACTTAGTTTAGATTCCATTTGATTTCAGTGTTTCTCTGTGGCTGCTGTGCATCAATATTACATGTCTACTCTAACAGAAGATGAATTTTTTCCTGTTGGGAAACAGACAACCACAGAAAGGACAAACACCCTTGAAGCAAAGAACAAAAGTTAAAATTCTTTCCTTATGTGTACTTGAAGGAAATATTAACAGAAGGACAGTATCGGCTTAACGATTCACTTTAAGTGCAGGATAATCACATAACTGAATACTTAAGATAATTAAAACATGACGCTAAAGTTAACCGAACACTTGCTGGACTTTCCATAAAGCTACAGCAGTCATGACTTCACAGTGAAAACAATTAGATTGTGGTGGTGGTGGTAAGATGACACCTCTGAATGGGCCTATCTAATGGAGGGTGATTCCTACCTAAGGACAAGTCCATTAACGACCAATTAACTTCCTATTAATATTTTACCAGACAGAGGCTCTCATCCTGTCATGTTTTAAGGAGCTTTTCCCAGGGGTGTTTGAACATGAGCAGCTTTTAGCGCAGCATAAAAAGGCTTGTGTAATGGCCTGGAGGAGGCCAAGTGGCAACCTGATAGCACTGAGAGCCGGAGGAGAGGAGACGGGCTTCTGCAGCTGGTCTGTCCTGCACCGAGCCAAGCCTGAGCCGGGCCAAACACACGCACGGGTGGCAGCATTTAAATCCAGTTTTTTCATGAATAATGAACTTGTGTCATGTTGACATTGTGTGATTGTGTTTTGATAGTAAAAATGTGACTAATTCGTTTTCTCTTGTTTATTCATAATTGCAGCTGAACTGGAAAGTTGCAGTTTTGCCTTCAGAAGTTAAAGTGATGCTAATCATCTGGGAGTTTATCTTAAAACAGAAATACCTTATCTGGCCTATATATAGCTCTATGCTGCATACTACTGGTTTGGGTGGACATTTAACACTAGTTGAGGGAAACTCCCTTCCCAGAGAGAACAAGAAAAAGAGAGGCAAGAAGAAAGAGAGTGATGGAGGCCATTATGACTAGAGCCTGAGGCTGTCCCAATGGATAAGGCATTTGTCGTCACTTGAAATTTATTTTTCCACCAGTCAGAAGGGTTATGTTTATCACAGCGCAGTGAAAGGACTTCTGGATAAAAAAGTAGAAGCAGAAATGTAAAAGGGAAAATCTCCCCAGGTTTTCTAATTCAGTCTTCTTGTTCTCTCAAAGATTTCTCTTCTGTGGTTACTGTTTGAGATAGGTTTCAGTCTTCATTAACTTTAGTTAATCATACTGAAACTTTGTCAGCAGCAGCTGTGTGTGTGTGTGTGTGTGTGTGTGTGTGTGTGTGTGTGTGTGATGATTAAGAGAAAGAGGGGTATGTGGGAAGGTGAAAGATGTGGTTGTATCAGGTTCCCTCCACTGGGTGTAGATGTGGTCTTAGATTTCTCTCTGGGCTGCAGATTAACTGAGTGCGTGTGTGTGTCTGTGTGTGTGTGTGTGTGTGTACGCGCGCTGGGAGTGCACTGAGGAGGAGAGGAACTTCAGTTTTAATTTCCCCCAGCTCCAGATATTACACCCCCGCGCTCTCTGTTTTTATTGGAACAGAGACCAGAAAACACCAAGTGTTTATGATGCATTAAAAGATGGTAAAGAACTTGAGTGTGCAATAGTAAATCTATAAATTTGGCACTGTCTCTCCAAAACAGAATTAATTCTGTTACAGAGGATTTCGTGTGTTGTACAAAAACTGATGATAATAACGCGCCGTGAAATCATGGTTATCATCACCTGTAGAGGACACAGGCTGGAGAAAACTCTCCGTAAAGGTGAATAAGAGAAATATGGTGCTCAGAAGAAAACACATGGGGGGGGCTGGGGTCGAATCTCAGATGGAATTGTTCTGCATTACCCTAATGACCATTTGAACAAGCAGATGGGTGAGGAGACTACATTCTATTAGCTGCGGTTTTATTGCCAGTGAACTGTTAATGACGTTCAAAGGGAGCTCTGCACCGCTCTCCTGGACAACGCATGCTGTGTGCTTCTATTTATTCTCACGAAAGTGCCCACA